CAGGGTTGCCCCATCCCAGGTGCCGAATCCAGCACTTTCCCTTGTTGAACTTCATATGGTTGGTGATTACCCAGTCCTCTAATTTGTTGAGGTCTCTCTGCAGGGCCTCTCTGCCTTCGAGGGAGTCAACAGCTCCTCTGAGTTTTGTCATCTGCAAACCTGCTTAGTATCCCTTCCAGTCCTGCTTCCAAGTAATTTATAAAGATATTGAAGATCACAGGGCCCAAGATGGAGCCCTGCAGAACCCCACTAGTGACAGGTCGCCAGTCTGATGTTACCCCATTCACTATTATCCTCTGTGCTTGACCTGTGAGCCAATTGCTCACCCACCACATGACATGTTTATCCAGCTGTGTGCTGGATATTTTGTCCAGAAGGATCCTGTGAGAGACAGTATCGAAAGCTTTACTGAAATCCAAAAAGATTACATCAATGGGCTTCCCTTGATCAACTAGGTGGGTTACCTTGTCATAAAAGGAAATCAGGTTCGATAAGCAGGACTTTCCTCTCGTGAAGCCGTGCTGGCTGCGACGAATGACTGTTGTCTTTCAGGTGTTTTTCAATACCTCCCAGAATAGTCTTCTACATAACTTTAGCAGGCACTGAAGTGAGACTGACTGACAGGCCTGTAGTTTCCAGGGTCCTGCTTCTTGCCCTTCTTGAAAATTAGGACAACATTCAACAGCTTCCAGGCAACTGGGACCTCTCAGGATTCCCAAGACCACTCAGAAATCATAGAGAGAGGTTTTGCAATAACATCAGCCAGCTCTTTGAGGATTCTGGGATGAATCCCATCAGGCCCTATATTCGTGCTTAATTCGATGCTGCTACCTTTGGTCTGTGTTTGGCCCAGCCACCTGTGAGAGTCTGTTCTTTTCCTACCAAGTTATGAGAAAACAAGCACTGATAACGAGAACTTCGTCCTTGAAGGAAACATCTTGTATAAACTGAAATTAATTGGGGCCTCACTATTGGTCGATGGCCCTCCAAGGACATTTGAAGGAGAAAGTGAAGAAGAGGATGATGAAGTAAGCCCCCAGACTCATTTAGGAAAGACCCCCCGAAGTGTAGCACGCAGGTGTGGGGAAATTCCAATGCACACACACATGCGCAGAAGGGGCACCACTTACATAATGGGGGGAGGGACCGAAGGCCTCTGGCTGGGTGGTGCTGGCCACACCTCCCCAGGTAGACGTCACAAGTTAATTGTATAAAAAGCAGATAGCTCTTGCTGGGAGGGGACTCAAGCTTCACGTGAAGGACAACGTTGCCTTTTGCGGGGACGCCTGCTATCTTGTGAGCCTGCCAACACTCCGAGGATGCAACTTCTGCTATGGGGAATTCTAGGCATTCTGGGATCGGTAAGAAAACCTCATAAGTAACACCTGAGTGAGTGGGGGGTCATACTGAGGGCTTATTTCCCTCCTCTTCCCTCTCTCTCGGGTTCTCGTTTTGTTGACTACTTCTTTGCAATAAATGTGTTTTGTTGAGCTTTCAATGGTGTACTGGTTTCAGTTTCGGCATTCTCCCAGCTATAGGCCCCATAGATTTGTAGGAATCCAGCTGGAGCAGCAGATCCCGCACAATTTCAGGGTCGACTGGGAATTGATCATTCTTGCAGTCAAGGTCCTCCAGCTAAGGGCATGTGATAGTTTTAGTCTAGGCCTTCCTGGAGACCAGCTTGTAACTAGGGAAGTACCCTATGTTCCCAGTATTCCATGCTATTCTTTATGTAAGCAGAGGTATAAATAAGAAGGAGAGAAGGCTCTCCCCTTTTCTCTTCTGGTGGACTCGAGAACGGCAGGTCCCTGCCGTTGGTCTCGCTCATCTGGGAGTTGAGACCTACAGGACCTGTTGTTTCTGCCGATTCCGGGAGGTGGAGGGTGCTGGCAGTGCTTGGCGCAATTCTGCTATCTCAAGGAGAGTAGTAAGATTTTCTTTTGCTAGTTTTTATTGACTGTGCATACCTGCTTCGGGTTTCTTTTGTGTTTTTGTCCCTTTTCCCTTCTCCTTTTGGGGGGTTGTTTGGGGTTCTTTTTTATATGTACATAGTATTTTAACTGTATATAACTGTACTATATGTAAATATATATATATTTTAGTATATAGTTCTGCTATTCTGGGTTTTTTCATAGTTTTTTTCTCTCTCGCTCTTTGCCGGAGGCTTTTCGCTGGGTCTTGGGGACTTGATGGGGAGCCAAATCAAAACTAAGACAGGGCACTGAGACCCCCTTGGTCCATCATCTGCATTGAAGACAGAGGCAAAGAATGTGTTAAACACTTCTGCCTTATCTCTGTCCTGTTTGTGAGGTGACCATCCTCATCCCATAACGGGCCAATGATATTTTTATACTGCCTATTGCCATTAATATGTTTGAAAATACTCTTTTTATTGTCCCCCCCATTTCTGGCAGCTTCAACTCCAGCTGAGCTTTGGCTGCATGAATTTTCTTCCTACAGTGGCAAGCAGCATTTCCTCAGATGTTTCTTCCAGTCAACAGTAAAAGCTATTTTGAGCTGACTTTATTGATCATACGGGTTGATTTCCTGCAGGCTCTTCTGTGTTTGTTTGTGGATTATTGGAGTTGAGTATAGTCCTAGTGTAGATGACCTAGTAAAATATTTATATTAATCCCAACTCTAAGCAGACATACATCGTGGAAGACAGCATGTCATGTAAGCTGCTGAATATTGGAGCCGTTTTGCTCTAACTGTTCTCTTTTTTTCTCCCTCCTGGCCTGCCCTCCCTCTGTTGTGTCCTGAGCTTCATTGCAACCTAGGACTCTGTTGCACAGTCACTTCAGGATACTGTTTGTCTTTCTGCAGGTTATGAAATATGGTGTCAGCTTTGATAGGTTGAATATTTATAGAGAGAAGAGGTTAGCAATATAAAATACTGTTCCTGTTCATCATGTTTTGTCAAGGACTGTGAAATTTTACTTTTGCATGTACTGTCTTAAGTCTTGTGAAGCAAATGCGTGGCACGTCATGCTTACACCAGTGATGCACCCCACAATTTTGGGAATGTGTAATCTGTGTGACAGTGTCAGCTTTGGAGCACTGCTTTGTATAAAGGATCCATTGCTCAAAGGTAGTGAGCTGACTGTGTCAATTAATATGCAGCAGGCTTTGTGTCTGCTGATTGTTCTTCTGATTTAATATTCGTGATGGTCTGTCTTACCAGCAGTAGTGGTGCATATTTAAGGACACAATACAGTGTTGGGATGCTCCTTGGCGTCCCACAGGCTACCTATGTGTCTTCAGGGCAACTATTTCAATCCTTATGCAGCTTCTGGCAGTCTACTGTCCTAGAGATGTCTTAGGAATGTGAAAAAGAGAGACTGTAGGCTCTGCTGATGCAGTGATGGTCAGGATCCCTCTTGGCCTACTCTTTCTAGAGAGCTGTGATGCTGCCTGTGTCTGAGATGGATGTAACTTGTTCAGGACACTTGGCTCTTTGGAAGAGCTGGATCTATATCAGAGAATGGGCCTTCTCGTCTGACACCGCTGCACTCTATTAGACAAAAAGTTCTCTAGTACAAGATTTTACTTGTGTCCATTATCGGTAAAATTTCAAAGGCCATATTTTATTTAACAATTTTATTTGTGATAAATGCAGGCTGCTGCCCACAATTATACTCTCATTCCTCCTTTGTAGTGCTCATGTAGCTCTACAGCGAATAGAAGTGATCTGGATGAAAAGTAACTCTCAAAACATAAATTTTCCGCCATGTGTGTTCTGTAGTCAGATAGCCAGTTTATTGATTTAGGTTGCTGCTCAATTGCATGGACATTTCAGCCTCCTTGGAATGGCGTTAAATGAGGTGTGTGGAACAGGCAAGAAGGGGACAGGAACCATTAATTCCCTTCATCGATAGCCTACACTTATGTTTGTCTGCTCTTGTTTCATAACACTAATGAATTTTCCCTGTGTAGGGAGGAGAAATAAAAATACCTACTTCTCTTCCCTTAAGCACTCAATCCCAATTTATGAATGTTTAAATTTAAATCACATCTATATTTGAAACCAGGAGTTTGGTGAACTTGGATTCTTTTAGCTATTAATTTTAAAGGGAATGTAGCAGCCAGTCAAACTTCAGGCTCTGTAATTAGGAAGTGGAGATGTAAGTTGCTTGTGAACCAAATTCTCTTAGTTTCTGAGGTGCGAAGTTTTCTTGCTTTATTTAAATCTGATGCTGCTTTTAGTTTGTGCCTATGACTGAAGGCTCCTTTTTCTTTACTGTTGTGATCTTGTCCTTGAATCAGTTTGGTAAAGAATTAGTTATCTCTCTTTTCCTCCTCCTTGATTTAGCAATTGAAGGTTTGTTATCCTATAGTTGAATCCTAAAGTACTATACTGTAAAACTGTGTTAAACATTCTGTGTTTTGTATACTGTGGAAAAGAATATTTAGTTCTTTATTCAAGGAGAGTACAGAAAACAGTGAGAAGTGTTAGCTACAATGTGCTTTTCTTCAGAGTCTGAATTTCCCTGTTTTGAGAAAAGCAGCAAATTAGTATGTGCATGGAGAATGAGATTAATGCTTAAGTGGTGGTACCGGAAAGTTAGATTGTGATGTTCAGTTTAAGATACACATGGCATTTGTTTGAAGTCTTAGGGAAGCTTATGTTTAAAAACAAACAAAAAACCCCAAACCCAGAAACTATCCTTTAAAATTAATTTTTTTAAGAGCTAGGCTGAAGAAGTTTTGCCTGTTTTAAGTAACACTACAACTGTATTGACTACTTAAAAGCAGAGAACTTGTTCACCTTTTAAAAACATTTATCATTTACTTTGAATCACTTGTTCCATTTTGATAGCCTCCTTCATATAGAAAATATAGCATGAGATGTCAATCTAAATTCAAGTCTAACAATGCTCTATCTTCTATGTGAGAGGAAGTATTCTGTACGTTTTTCCATGTTTGACATCATGGTGTTTTGAATAACCATGTTCCATATTCATATCAATTTTTTGATTTTGTTTTCAATTTATGCACAGCACTTGCTCTGAAATTTGGGGACTGAGTACACCAAACACGATAGATCAGTGGGATACAACAGGCCTTTACAGCTTCTCTGAACAAACCAGGTGAATATTCTGCCCTCTCTTGCATCATAGAAATCTTGTGGGAGGGATTGGCTTTGGAGGGTCTGTAATGGGATGCTTTAGCTATAAAATAGACTAAAATGCTTCCTAGGCCTCTCATGGTACAGCATTTTAAAATATTTGCTTGCCAGTGTAGAAATCCAAGTGTTATCAGCTGATGTTTTGACCAATGAAACTAATTCTGCAATATTCATTTTTTCACACCAGTGCTATTGAAAGAATGGGAAGACTTGTTAAATGCAAGCTCTAATGTGATTTGGCATTTAAATTAACAAAGTTGGGAAACTTAATTCTTTAGACCTAATCTTACAAAGTGATTAAACTGCTTTGTATGTCACAAGCTTTCAGTTAAATCTTGCTAATTGCCTCAGATACAAGCTACTAAAGAATTGTTTGTAAATTCTTCAGTAGTTAATGGTGGGCAAATTCTAAACAGGGTCTTTATTTTTTCATGTCACATTACTTGATTTGTGTACTGAGGTTTGTCTCCCATCCCATAACAGTCATAAACATCTGCATTTGTGTAAGCATATGCAGTCTGTCTTAAAACTAGCAAAACGTTTTCAGCTGGTAGCAAGGCAGATGAAGTCAAGAAGATAAACTGTACAGCCCTTGAAAGAGGTGCATTCATGCTTCTTGCATTACAGTTATACTGCCATGTGGATCACTTGGGCAGCTGACTGCTTATAGGCTTATTTGCAGTCCTGTTGGAATTCTTATACTTAAAGCCATAAAGCATCTATGTCATAGCAAAACCTCGATGTGTAGTAGTGGAAGGGACCATAAAGTGTGTGATTTTATTTATTTATTTTTTAACAACTCTGTTCTGCATTTAAAAAAATATATGAAGCAATCATCCGAAATACTTGGTTGGATGTAAAGTGGCTTTTAATGAATTCTAAATTCACTGGCAATAATTTGAGCAACTCAAAAATAAGAAACTACTTGATATGATCATTTTTATCACATTTGAAGCCTTTTAACAAAAGTATAAATGTCACTAGCAGTGTCAATCCTCTGAATTCTGAGAATGAATAAACTACCCATCTCATGTGTACACTGTTGCTTGAGTGATTCAGAGACAGCATGCAGTCTGTAAATACTTCTCAACATTTCTCCCCTCTAGATCTCTCGATGGCCGTCTACAGGTATCTCATCGTAAAGGATTACCACATGTTATTTACTGTCGTTTGTGGCGCTGGCCAGATCTTCACAGTCACCATGAACTTAAAGCAATTGAAAACTGTGAATATGCTTTTAATCTTAAAAAGGATGAAGTATGTGTAAACCCTTACCACTACCAGAGAGTGGAGACACCAGGTAGGAAGACTGCTTCTGACTTTGTATAGCATCTGTACATACTTGATAAGCATAATGTTATAAGTGAAAAAGAAAAAGATGATGCTTTCTCTTGCCAAAAGTACAAGATTCTTAGAGATACAGCTTTTGAGAATACCACCCTGATAGTTTTTAATAGTAAAGTTACTGAAAAATCTTTACGAATGTGGAGATACCTTTACCCCGATTAACATTTCCAGGACTGCTAGCAGTTTCCAGATGGCTAAATAGGACCTGGACTGAAAAGGAGAACAGAGATGATTTACCTTTGCTAATGTTGAATAGTCTTACTCAAGAGGCACTTCAGGAATCTGTTTCTTCCACTGACTAGTAGTACAATCGTAGTATTATCAGTACTGAGATTCAGAAAATTTCAAAACATCTGAAGAGATTGTTAGATGGTTTAGATATATTTTTTTTTTCCTTTTAGCTCACACAAGTGGGTATTTTGAGGGTCTTACTAATGCTTTGAATTTTACTTTTCCAGTCTTGCCTCCTGTACTAGTGCCACGGCACACTGAGATTCTAACAGAACTGCCGCCTCTCGATGACTATACCCATTCCATTCCTGAAAACACTAACTTTCCAGCTGGAATTGAACCACAGAGCAATTACATACCAGGTATTTTCTTAACTCTCACTGTAAACAGTACATTTAACATTGTGCCACTGAAACAAAGATGGCAATTTTATCCTCCTAAGTGATCAAATTAATTGCAAGATGTGCCAATAAGTTAGATCTAGTTGATTTTGTGTATTAATTACAATGGAAAAACCTGAACACTGCTGTTTGCAGAATACAGTCCTGTGTGAAAGCATATTGCTTACTTGATTTTAATAGCTTATTTAAGATTCAGAATGCTAATGAGTGAAAAATAGACCTTTGCCTTATACTTTCAGCCTGTTTTACAAACATATAGGGGTTGCCAAATGCTATGTATTGGAGATTGAGTAGTAAACTGCTGCTCAGTCTCACCATGTGTAGTCTGGGGAGAAAACTTTTAAGTTGCAAATCAGTGACAATGTTTTGATCTGTAGTTCACAATCAGTCAAGGTCTGCTTTGTGTATTTGTTACTATTGTGTGCACAGTTTTGTCTTTTTAGTATGAAAAAACAACCTAACAATATTGAACTCAAAGAATTCCTTCTTTGCCCCTTCTCTACCCCAAGACTAACCTGCTACAGTGCACCTGAAAGCTGGTAGCTTTATTGAAACATAAAATCAGTGAATTTTGTTTCCTGTCCCAACTTTGTGTTTCCTATCCCTTCAGGAAGTTGCCTGGAGTGTAAAACCAAGTAAAGCTGAAGTTTTCTCATAAATGTTTAATGCAGCTATGTTATGAACAAGCTGAAAATTCAGATCTGGACTCTCTTGAAGAATAAAATTACTTGAAACTCAAATATGTGCAATGTAGAAACAGGATGTTGCTTCTGTTTTCTTTAAATGTATCCAAGAAATGAAATTGCATTAAAAAATGCAATAATTTGTTTTTAGCTGTTTAATCTGGGCCCCGTTTGTTGCCACCCAGGGACAGCAGATCTTTAAAGAGCAATTTAAGGGGTTAGAAGTTGGTGCTGCTTTTGTAACTGATGTATGCTTTTTTTGACTCAATATGAGGGCTTTTGATAGCATTTGCTAACAACTTACTGGAAAGCCACCATTTGCAAATCCAATGCTATGGAACTGAGCTAAAGCAGCTAGATAGTTAATTGCAGGAAGTATGTTCAAGGTGGTTGTGGGTATTCACATGATCTTCAAATGTTTATGCAGCTAACCACACCTTACCTTCTTCTCTTTGTCACTGACACCCTCCTGTTGTATTCATGGCATCTTACTTTATTTGACCTCCACGACTTAATCTTGAACACTCAGCTAGGTTCTGATAAGTCATGTGTGTCTTGACAGCCTGCTTCAGAGAACCGTTTTCTTAAGCAATAGGCCAGACTAACAACAGTGGTAGCTTTGCACCACAATACCGTCTCAGTACATGATCTACAGAGAGGTTGGTTTCACTTACAGCTGAGAAGATGGCAGTTGTGAAGGTGCAGGATGGCTGCTGAGACTGTATGTTCCCTTTCAGGTTATGGATGTGCTCAGCTGCATTCAAACACTGCTAAGAATTTTTAATGCTGTACTTGAGCATTTATTTCCAGCTGTGGTGGTGCTCAACCTCTGACCCTAAACTGCATTAATAGTACTAGGTGGAGGAAATCTCTTTTCAGAGATTAGTTAGGGAAAGTAATCTGTGCCAAAGACTCTATATTAGCAACTGGAAACAGGAGGCATGGGTTGGATTGGAAATGGTTATTGACCTTTTACCATGGCTGTAGGCTTAACTATAATGTATGATATGGAGAAGGGTAGAGTCCACTTTATCAAAATGAATTCAATAAAAATGTTCAAAATTAGTATGATTTTTGTTATCATACTTCTTGATAGTGAAGATTTCCCTTAATTGTCCTTTTAAATTATCATTTGAATTTTGTCACATCTATATTTAGCACACTAGCTTTACAGAGTGAACCAAAGATATAATTCTTTTGGTTAATTTTTATTTAATCAACTGACTTAATCTAGTTTCCTCTCACTGACTTTCTTCTGATCTTACTATATTGCTGTAAATCTCAGACATGATATTTGATATAATTTGATTTTAATTCTTAAACAAAAGGCTTTATCTTTAAATTTCTGCTGTTTGATAATAATGTAATTAAATGTATTTAATCCCTCAGATGTCTCAGAGACAATTCTAAGGTGATTGTAGAGATAGTTAGCTTCAAACACTTTCACTAAAGAAATCCATGTTTTGCCTTTAATATATAGAATCATAGAATATCCTGAGTTGGAAGGAACTCACAAGGATCATCGAAGTCCAACTCCATATAGGAAAAGACATTTGCCCAGTTCAAAGAAAATTATTTCCTGAAAAGCAGTTGGTTAACTCATCTGGATTACAAAGTACATTTTGAATGGAGAAAGGGAACATGCATACTCTTCTGGGTTTTGAAGATATCTCTGTTGAATTAGGCACAGTTTCTAGTATCAGAATGCTTCAAACTTGTTACTGAGTTTGCTTTGGTCTGTGAAACTCCATCTTTAAAGAAAGCTAGTTAAAAGAATAGATGATTGTTTTAATAAGTAATAATGATAATAGAGCTTGTGCAGTGTAACTCATCATCATCATCATGGCTAGGCTTCGCGAACGAAGATTTGGGAAGGGCTCTACCCACGTTTGTTACAAGCGCGTTGGTGGCTAAAAAGGCCAATACGAGATAGGCATGTCCGGTTGCAAAAGGCACAGCAGAAAGACTCCTTAGATGGTATATACTGCAAGGCACGATTCTTTCTGTGTTGTCTTTTCTCCTCAAGGGTGATCCTGCGTGCTTTCTCAAAAGCATCAGCAGCGTTATAGATGGTGTGTCTCCAGGCCTCCTGATTGGAGGCCAGAGTAGACCAGTTATGGTGCTCAATATGGCCAAGGCTGAGATGTTGTTTCAGAGAGTCCTTGTATCTTTTCTTCGGGGCTCCTCTCTTGCGGCAGCCAGTGGCAAGTTCACCATAAAGCAGGATCTTAGGGAGGTGGTGGTCCTTCATCCTGGAGACGTCCCCTGCCCAATGCAGCTGTGTTCTCAGTAACATGACCTCAATACTTGTGAGTGCTGCTTGTTCAAGAACAGATGTATTGGTCACATAATCTGACCAGTGGATGTTTAGGATTGTGCGGAGACAGCGTTGATGGAAGCGTTCTAGGAGACGCAGGTGGTGGCGGTAGATGACCCATGATTCAGATCCGTATAGGAGAGTAGACAGCACTATGGCTCTGTAAACACTGATCTTTGTACTTTTCTTCAGGTGTTTATTTCACCAAACTCTTTTATGAAGCTTTCCAAAAGCACTATATGCCTTTGCTAACCTGTTGTCTAGTTAAATAATATAGCTATTATTGACTGAAATCGACTGTTAGATATTGAAGAAAAATGGATTTGGGGTGGGGACTGAACTGAAAAGTAACCTTCAAATCTAGCAAGGGAGGCTATCTGATCTGATGGTTATACTACATAAAGACAGCTCACATGATTTTTTCTTTTGTGGAAGTCACCAAATTTTTTTTTCATCTAATTCTACTAAAAGTGAAAGCTATTGATTACAATTGCAAAATTGTTGTTCATTGTAGTGAAAGTATCTTGTCTTAAATGGAACAAACAAGGATTATCTGTTAATTATATGACGTATTTGAACAGTTGACTGCCATACAAGAGATGATGCATTTTACATAGACAATTAAGGCAGGTAATGTATTTGAAGTCCTACTGGAAGGAAAAAGGGACAGCAAAATGACATTCTAATAAAGTATTCAGGTATCATATGGAGCTCATGAAGATTTAAGAACAAAAACCCCGAATGCTAAATCTTAAAAATTTCCCCAGTCATTGAACCAATAGGTGGATTTTTTGTTTTGATAGAAACACCACCTCCAGGATATATCAGTGAAGATGGAGAAACGAATGACCAGCAGTTGAACCAAAGCATGGATACAGGTAACAGTATTTTCAAAACTTGGAATTACTAGCTGTGATCCCTCTGCATAGCAACATGAATTCAGCCCAAGAGATGATGGCAGTTTTCCTCTGTACAACCTGGTGTTTTCTGTTTAAAATATCACTTTCAGTCTTCAGTGAACAAATTAATATTTTGCTAGGGGAATGCTTTTAAAACATTCTGTGCCATATTAAGTACATTACATGTTTCATAACAAAAGCATACAGGTCTAATTAAGTCTTCATCAGATTTTAATAGCTGATTGGTTTTAACCATCCCCAACTTTACCTTCTGGAAACAGGTTCATTGAAGCAAAATGTCTATTGGCCTAAACAGATGCTGCATTTTGAGAATCTGTCTCTTAACTCTGGCACCTTATCACTTCTGCCATGTTTCAAATCAATTCTTGTATGGAAGGGTCTATGAAAAGAGTAATAGAAACATTAAACATGTGTCCCTTTGTATGAGTTTCTAGATGTGCAAGTTTCGAGCTGGCTTCCTGCCAAGTCTCCGAAACTTGACAACAGGGTCCGCTTCCCAGAGAGGGAAGAAAAAAAAACCAAGCAGCCAAAGTTCTAGAAAAAATATATATTTTACGTATAAAACAGATATATTCAATGAGAATATTATATATGTATCTATAACCCCAGAAACCCTAAATAGCTTCCCAAAGGGAAGAGGGGGAAGGGAGAAGGGAAAAGGATAAAATAGGGGGAAAAGGGACAAAAACAAAACAGGTCTACACAATCTAAAAACCCGGTAACCAGCAAACTGAAGAATTGGCAAGAGCTCACCACTTCCCTTGAGAAAAACGGGACGGCTGGACACGGCCCAGCACTCTCCCCTCACGCGTGACCGATAACAGCAGTCACTGTAGGCCTCAGCTCTCGATAAGCCAGACCAAGACAGGGACCACCGTTCTTCAACCTCGCCAGAAAGGAAGAGCGCAAGCTCTCTTATCTACACCTTATTTATACCCCAGGTTACGTAAAGGAATAGCATGGAATACTTCCTTGGTCACTTTCCTAGTTCCTTCCTGGTTACAAGCTGGTCTCCAGGAAGGCCTAGACTGAAACCATCACACTAGATAATGTGTTTGGCTTTAGATTTGGACAAAGCACAGTTAAATATGCTGGATAAGAACCTTCTGCTATGTGCTGGCAGACTTGAGTGTGTTTGATTAACTAATGTTAGCAACCTTTTTTAGTTAGTTGGAATCAACTTCACCAGTTTCTGTAAGAACTGCAATATTTTCCCACTATGTGACAACAGGTACCTTAATTAAAAAAGCCTGATATCAGCAATCGTAGGAATGATTCTGTGCAAAGCCTCTTTGTATTTTGTCTACAAGTGCACAAATTGTGTTGGAGAGTTCATGTTTTTCTAAATTTTTTCCTTCCTCCTTCCAGGAAAGAATAATCTCAAATGAGGAAATCCAGCTTGTTCTTCTAGAGATAAACCCTCTCCTTTGAGAATAGAGGCAATATCTTGCTTGTCTCATCCACTTTTTCTTAGCTTTTTTCCACTGAATTTGGGAAGAAGTCACTACCTTATCACTGGGCTGAAGCACCTCTCTTATGAAGACAGGCTGAGAGAGTTGAGGTTGTCCAGCCTGGAGAAGAGAAGGCTCCAGGGAGACCTTAGAGCACCTTCCAGTACCTAAAGGGGCTACAAGAGAGCTGGAGAGGGACTTTTGACAAGGGCATGGAATGATAGGAGAAGGGGGAATGGCTTCAAACTGACAGAGGGCAGGTTTAGATTAGATATTGGGAAGAAATTCTTTCCTGTGAGGGTGGCGAGGCACTGACACAGGTTGCCCAGAGAAGCTGTGGCTGCCCCATCCCTGGAAGTGTTCAATGCCAGGTTGGATGGGGCTTTGAGCAACCTGGTCTAGTGGAAGGTGTCCCTGCCCATGGCAGGGGGGTTGGAACCAGATGATCTTTAAGGTGTCTTCCAACCCAAGCCATTCTATGATTCTATGACAAGTGCATAAATAAAGTTATGTTCACAGAGTGTGCATGAAGTGAAAGCTCTGCCAAATACAACACTAAGACGTTAACTGAGTCTTTATGAGGAGGGGTAGGTTCCCATGAGTCTGGAAAATTAAATGCAGTCTTAATTCACAATAAGTGTGTGATATGCTGGAAAAGTGGTGTTAGGATTTCTGAGGTTTCTTATTCCAAAGAATTTCAGTGTAAAACTATATCTAGATAATGGTTATACCTACCTATCTGAAATAATCTGTATTGCTTCAACAGGATCTCCAGCAGAGCTGTCTCCTAGTACTCTTTCTCCAGTTAATCATAGCCTGGGTAAGCTGGAAATACTTTTAATTATTTCTCTATGTGTGATGACTCTCTCTCTCTCTATATATATAACATTAAAAATGAAAATGTACTTAAAAAAATTAAGAACTGTATTAGGAGGAGACTATTTGGTTGGCTTGCTGATGATGAACATAATAGGGCTGGGTTAATAACTTGTTAACTACTACTCTATTTCTGTAACTGTTAAGTTCCTAGCAAAGAGAAAGAATAATATGGTTGTGTGTGCAGGACTAGCATTTATAAAATAAATACTTTAAAGGATGTTAGCCAATCCATAGTGCTGCCCAGACTTGCTGACTCCCTTGTATATGTGTTCTGCTGCTCTTCTCATGTACTGTTTGACCTGTAACCGCAACACAGTCATTGCTCCCTCATTAGTTGCCCACCTGCTTTGATTGGGTGCCATTGCTGTGTATTTGTATAAATGCCTCAGGAAGATCGGATTCCCCTGGGTTTGTTTAAGGAATGGTGACAGAAAAATGCTGTTCACAACATTAAGTTATTAGGGTAGGTAAAAAGGGGAAGCAGCTCAGGAAAAGCTGAAGATGCACAGGGAAGATACTGAGCTCTCATAGGGGAAAGTAAAAGGAGTTTAGAACTGCTTTTAGATAAAGAGAGTATAAGATCTAATGTAATACAAGGAAACATCATTTTCATATTAATATTTTTTCCTTTATGTGGTTCAGTGTTTGATGGTTTAATCTTTTCTTTAACATTGCCAAAATGTTTGCAAGTTATAGAAAAGCAACAGAAATATCTCAACATCTGGCACTCACAGCAGCAGTAGCTTAATCATTTTGCCGAGCAAAATACAAGTACTGAACTAAATGAGCTGTGGTCAGATTAGATCACCCCTTCTTCCTGTCCTTCCCTTGTGTGAAAGATTGAATTCCATTCTGTTTACTGGGGTAGATAAAAATGACAGCAAGCAAAATATGATTTGAGGAGACTACCTCTGTCATTTCTGGGAGAGACAAATAGCAGGGCAGATAGATTTATTTTCAGCCTCAAATTCTGTATTAAGCTTGTTTTTTAATATTTTTTTTAGACTTGCAACCAGTTACTTACTCGGAGCCTGCATTTTGGTGTTCAATAGCATATTATGAATTGAATCAAAGAGTGGGAGAAACCTTCCATGCATCCCAGCCTTCCCTGACTGTAGATGGCTTTACAGATCCTTCCAATTCAGAACGATTTTGTCTAGGTTTGCTTTCCAATGTAAACAGAAATGCTACAGTGGAAATGACAAGGCGACATATAGGTAAAGATCTCTGATCTTTAAATATTTAATTTCATTTTAAACATTAAATTATCTGGAATGATCCAGGTAGGATGGACAGATCTGTGTGTTGGGTTCCTTTTGCCATTGTGCAGCCAGCCATAGAACTTCTCTCTCAGAGCTTGCCAAGGAGAACTTGGTCTCTCTTGCTAAGGACAGAAGTGGAAAGACAGAGAGGTTGCTGCTTCTGAAATTAGGGAGAAATATAGCTTCTGTTACCACAGCCTGTTGCAATTGGGAAGAGATGTAGTGATGGCTAGAGCTGAAAGGAGCTCCCTTTCCTCTATCAGTAGTCACTAAGCTGGTGGCAGCAGCAGTCACACAGCTGTCAGGCTGCAAGCGGCACAGGAAGAAGCCACTCAACTGTATGGGATTTCTGTTGCTCACAATGCTGTTCTCTGCCTTCTGGAAAAAGATGATATACCAAAGTATCCCAAAGGGCAGGTTTTTGGCTTTCAGGCTCCCTGTTGGACTGCTCTGCCCTAGGTAGCATTTATATTCAGAGCTGCTTATAATTGAAATTTAAGCTTTAATTAAAAAATATTAGCATGTTGCTTGGTTTATTCTAATTTATGAAACACAGAATGGACATTGGTAGTACATGAATGCTTTTCTGAAATGGGAAAAGCTGCAGTCCAGATAACATGCTGTTTTGACATGATTAAGATTTTCTTTGTAATGGTTAGTAAAGAATATTGTTTTCCACAATGCAGTGTCTTGGCTTTAGGTTCTTCAATAAACTACCTTTTTTTTTCTGGATTCTTTTATTTAGCAACATTCATCAAGTTTTTTTGTTTTTATTTTTGGTAAAAATTTCAACCTCTTTAGTAGAACTTTCTGATCCCTTCTATGCCAAATCCAAATGCTTGTGTAATAAAATTTTAGATGTGCAGAAGCTCAGGCTATGCCTGTGCTGACTAATCAAAATGATCAATGATGAGGGAAAGAAAAAATGTAAGGAGCTCTCACTTTTTTTAATAGAGCAGCTCACATTTTGTTTGAAAAATTGTTTTAAAGAAAAAGGGGAATAGAAACTACGGCCTTTAAAGAACCTGTTAATTATAAGTAGTTTTCTTTGAGAGATCAATTGTACATTACTTATATTCTGCTAGAAATAACCCATACAGTTTTTTTCCACTTAATGAGAGAGAACAAAATCACAATTTAAAAGCGAACAATAGGGTTTCTTATGGGCATTTTTTTGTAATAGGGCTAAATGAAGTCTTGTTGGTTTTGTTAAAGTAGTACAGAGAAGGGGTATGCAGTGGGTTATGAAATAGTGTGGGTGCATGTAAGCAGAGAGTGTCGAAGTGGTACACTGTGTTTTCCTTTTTTGTCATAGTGGCCTGTGCTGCTTCACATACAATTCTTTAATACTAGCACAAGTTTTAATTCTGTTGAATCTAATCTTTTTTTTTCAATTTTGGTATTTCTTTAAGTGAAAAAGTTATTTGGTGGTGAACACTGCTTTCTAACTTGGATTTGGTTACAAGCCACTACATGGCTAGAAAATTCTATCTCACTCTTGACCAAAAATTATTCTGCTTCTCCTTCAAATATGGTGTGTTCATGGGAGAAAAATGCAAGTTAATTGTGTTCTGCTCCTGCTACAGGTGTCAGCCCAGCTTTGTGGTCCTGTAGATAATTGGTTTCTGTTGTAAAGAAAGAAAAACCTTGGCCTTCTCTGAAACAAAATACTCTCGTTTGTTAATCTGCTTGGGTCATGTAATAACTAGAGTTCCTTTGAATTCTGCTACAGGAAGGGGAGTACGTCTCTATTACATTGGTGGAGAAGTTTTTGCTGAGTGCTTAAGCGATAGTGCGATTTTTGTTCAGAGCCCCAATTGTAATCAAAGATATGGCTGGCATCCTGCAACTGTGTGCAAAATTCCACCAGGTTAGTAGCCTACCAAAGGTCTCATGGGAAAATATTCAGTGAATGTATTCACTGGACATTTGCTTTCCTTTTCATAGTTTCTTCATAGTTTTGGGCTTCTGTGTAGTAAACACAAGTATTCATTGATTGTACTCTTTGGACTTTTTTTCTTTATAGGATGCAATCTAAAAATCTTTAATAACCAAGAATTTGCTGCTCTTCTGGCTCAATCTGTGAATCAGGGTTTTGAAGCAGTTTATCAGCTTACTAGAATGTGTACCATAAGAATGAGTTTTGTTAAAGGATGGGGAGCTGAATACAGGTAAGAAACTTTTGCTTTTAATTTTAGAGTTAATTTTTCTTCTTTCACTAATGCACTATTTCTGTCTGGTTTGAAAGTTGTAACTACAGGCTTCTTACTGCTATTGTAGATATGCTGTCTGCAAGTTGTGTGACTTTATTAATATAATAAATAAACCACACGACCTGGTTGATTGGATTCCCAACAACCAAATCTGTTTATTGGAAGCGAACAGCACCTTTTATATGCACTTCAAAACAACACGTGATTCTCTTAGCCAACCGCCATGGGACTTGCCACTGCCCATGTGTATTAGAGTATATTTTGGGGACTACATCTCCCAGGATGCCTCATCCAGCATCCCTAAAACACGTTCCCCACATCTCCCCCGGCTTTATTATTAAGACAAATCATAGAACAGTGCAAATAACAGAACAGTACATTTTTAAACCTTGTAAAACCTTTAACAATTACCATTGTATCACAGTGACCCAGCTCACTGCTTTACCTTGGTTCTTCAACAAACCTACTTATTTGAACTTTTATCTCTAACCTTTTGAATTTGCTTGATATAAACTTGAACCTTTATTTTCTTAAGGGTTTGTGTGTAACTGGGATAAACAACAACTTTATTGATCTGAGGGTTTTTTATGTAACTGTGTGAAACTTCTCTAACTAGGATGAACAACAACTTTATTAACTTGAGGGTTTTGGCATAACTGGGTAGAACATTGATTTTACTTTTCTAAGGGTTTGCATGTAATTGGTAGAAGCATCAACTTTATTTTTCTGAGGGTTGTTTATAAAACTGGGTGGTACTTATGTAACTGGGAACCTTTATTTGTCTAAGGGTTTGTGTAGAACAGGGAAAATTCAACTTTACTTCAACAACAGGGTTTATTGGGGGGTAAATGTCATGAACTGAATTCTTCTAATGTGACCGTGTGGCTGAGGTAATGTTACCTTTTTAAGGCTTAGTGTTTAAAGTGCTTGTACACTCACACAATTCTCTTTCATTCACTCATACACACTCACACCGGCGGCTGCCACTCTCTTTCTTCACATGCACACTTATTGCTTTTAATAAGATTCTGTATTTTTGCCACATTGGTCATTTTCAGTAATAAACATCAGTTGTGCGTCTCTGTCTGCAGTTTCTTCAATTATCACTCTGGTTCTTACTGCTGCTGTGAAGGTGTACCTATGTAGGGTTTGACACACCTGGAGGGAATCCATTTTAGTTCTTTACCTGTAGATATACACGCACACCCCCTTCCCCATGTCACGAGGTCTACCGGTCCCATCCATTGCCCTGATATTAGGTCTTTTATCATGACCGGTGGTTTGGGAGAGGAAAACGCCTGAGATCTGTGCCGTCTCCCACACCCGCTTTTCTCTGCACTGTCACAACCCAAAAAATTTATGACACATGTTGCCCCCCACAGATGCTCCCACGGGCCACAGATGAACCCCCCCCTCCCTGTCTTTTGAGCATGTCCTCTAGGGCACAGTGCGCCCTCTCCACCATGACCTGTCCTGTGGGTGAGCGTGGCACGCCCGTGGAATGAGAGATTCCCCAGTCTGTCAGGAAAGCCCTGACCTTCGCTGAAATGTATGCCAGGCCGTTGTCAGTTTTGATCTTTTTTGGGATCCCTAGTGTTGCAAAGCAGTTAAGCCTTATGACATCCCTTGCCTTTTCCCCAGTGTGTGCAGTGGCAGTTATGTATCTGGAATGCGTGTCGACTGCAACATGAACATATTTTAGCCGACCAAACTCTGGTATGTGTGTGATATCTGTCTGCCATACCTCATTAGCTATTAGTCCCCTGGGGTTAACTCCTTCCTGGGATGGCATGGAGTAATTTGTTGGCAGTCTGGACATGACATGACCATGTCTCAAGCCTGATTGAGGGTGATTTGAAATTGTCTCTTCAGAGAATGTGCATTCTGGTGGAAAAAGGAATGAGACAATTTAGCTTGCTCAATTGTCCTAGGCACTGTAGTGAACATAGCTGCTGCATCAGCCCTTTGGTTCCCTTCTACTACAGGCCCCGGCATTTCTGTGTGTGACCTAACATGCATTATGTAGAATTCAAACCTTCTGTGGTTAACAAGAACCCATACAGTACGTATTTCAGCGAGTAAGTGTGGGTTAGCAACATCTCAAAGGAAGGAAGCCTCGAGACGTGAAACCAAACCTGCTGCATAACATGAATCAGTAACAATGTTAATTGGCTGATCAGAAAACAGTTCAAAGGCAATGCGAATAGCTGCGAGTTCTAGGACCTGTACCGAACCATGGCTTATGGTCTGTACCTCCTTTTCCCACTGTCCTGTAGCAGGGTTTACCCACGTCACTGCAGCCTTTTTGGACCGTCATGATGCATCAGTAAAAACTGTGAGGCCTTTTACTGTCTGGTGTTGACATCTGCGTGTGACTTTTAAGGGTAGGTTACCCATATCTGCCCAAAGTCTGTACTTAGGATAGTGAGTAGAAATGTCACCGTCATAGCCTGCCAAGGCTGCCCGGAATCCAGCATCTTCAGCCAGTACCCAGTCGAGGTTGTCCTTCGTTGCTGGGATGTAGATGGTCACAGAATCCTGTCCATCCAACTCCTGTAGACGTCCTCTGCCCTTAATGACAAGCTTGACAAACATTTCATCAATTGTCCGCACAGTCTTTGGTGGTGACTGGGGCAGAAACAGCCACTCCAGGACCCTCAGTGGATCCGATTCAGCCTGGTCCCACTGAAACAAAACTGCAAATGGCTGGAACCTGCTAGGAACAAGTGCAAGGCAGGTGTGAAGTTCAGGATTTCTCCTTCTGCCTTGTCTGCTCTCGATTGCCTGAGAACATGTCTTTAATGCCTGCTTTGCCTCTGTGGTCAGGGACCGACTAGATGTCAAGTCGGGATCACCTTTCAGCAGCTCAAATACGGGGTGCAGTTCCTCTGTGGTCAAGCCTAAGATAGACCTTAACCAGTTGATGGCTCCTAAAAGTTTCTGCAAATCATTTAAGGTTAAAGTGTTCTTTACCTTAATTGTCAGTGGCTGGGGTGAGATCTCCTGCTGCGTGATCCTCCATCCAAGGTAGGTCCAGGGTTGAGATCGTTGGATCTTCTCTGGAGTGACCTGCAACCCTGCTTCTTGGACAGCATTAAGTAAGAGCAGTTATAACAGTTTGCAACTCAGTCTCTTTGGCCGTGGCGACCAAGATGTCATCCATGTAATGGTAAATAATTGCTGAGGGGTGAAGCTTTCTGACAGGGTGGATAGCCTTTGCCAGAACAGTCTGACAAATCATTGGGCTATTTCTCATCCCCTGAGGCAAAACAACCCAGTGGTATCTCTGCATGGGCTGTGCGTGGTTCAAAGCGGGGATGGAGAAAGCAAATTGTGGCGCATCGTCAGGGTGTAGAAAAATGGTGAAAAAACAGTCCTTTAAATCAATTACCATTAAAGGCCATCCTGCTGGAAGTATAGCAGGTGAGGGAAGTCCCGATTGTAATGCCCCCATAGGTTCTATCACTGAGTTAACTGCTCTTAGGTCATGCAGCATCTGCTACTTGCCACTTTTCTTTGGTATGCAGAACACCGGAGTGTTCCACAGACTGGAGGTTGGCACTATATGTCCTGCATCTAGTTGCTCTTGGACTAGATCTCTTAGGTGAGCAAGCTGTTCCCTTTTCATGGGCCATTGATTCATCCATATAGGGTCATGAGTTTTCCATGTCAACTTAATTTGTCCTTGGAACGGCTGGTCAATGGCCCTCACTGAAAATTTTGAGCATCTCCAGTTGCAATTTGCATGACAGTGCCAAATTGGCCTAGCACATCTCTTCCCCACAAAGTGCATGGAATAGGAGCAACAAAGGGATCTATCTTGGCAACCTGCCCCTCTGACCCCAACACTGTGCGTATTTGTGCATTATGCCTAGGCCTCTGCATGCCTCCAACCCCCTGGATAGTCGAAGCAGGAAAAACAGTGGGCCAGTCAGCTGGCCAGTCAGTGTCTTTAACAATTGTAACATCTGCTCCTGTGTCCACCAAGCCTTTGAATCTGCGTCCATGTATCTGACAAGTCATCATTAGTTGTGCCACAGAAATGGTTTTTGCCCAGAATATTTGAGGCTCACCTGTGCTCCCAAAAGCCCCCGAACCCCTTTCCCCCTCCCCAGCCGGTGACATGCTGTAAAAGGGGATTAACTGGGCAAGCCGTTGTCCCTCAGGTATGTAACAGGGAGGCACTGAAGTCCATGCCATGATTTGTATCTCGCTGTGAAAGTCAGAGTCAATCACTCCGGGTAAGACAAACAAACCCATCCTGGTGGTTGACGATCGTCCTATTAGAAGGGCATGGACTCCTGGGCCTAAAGGTCCCCAAACCCCTATGGGGATCAACACTACGGTGGTAGATGTTAAAGTTACTGGCTCTCTGGAGGCCAGGTCTAGCCCAGCGCTGCCTGAGGTGGCGGTGAGCAAATTGCTAACCTGTTTTCTTGAGCCGTATTTATTTGCTGAACCAGGGTGCGTGGCTTTGCACCCCGTCTGCAGTTTCCATGATGGGAAGGGTTTCTCCTCAGGTCAAGTCAACTCGACCTCAACCTTCATTAGACCCCCGCTTCCCATGCTGACATTTTTGGCATACTGCCGAGGGGGGTTATTTGGGGCAGTCCTTATAAAAATGATCAGCAGAGCCACATCGGTAGCATCTGCCTCTCCCTCTTGCCCCGTCCTGTAATCTCAGCTGGGCGCTTAAGGCTGTAGCTAGAGAGGCTGTGTGATGTTCAACTGATCCGACACCCTGACACGCTCGGACCATTTCGGCTATTGTACAGGTTTCCCTTTTAGGGATAGTCTGCAAAGCTCGCTTACAATCTGGGTTTGAATTCTCATAAGCAAGCTGCCTAAAAAGCATCTCTCTAGCATCTTCATGTTCTATTTGCCTGTTTAAAGTCGCCTGTAGCCAATTGAGGAACTGGGAGAAAGATTCATTTGATCCCTGAAGGACCTTTGTGAAG